TTGCTCGGCCTGACATATAACAGTTTTACTTGAAAGAGCAGCAGCATATGATTTTCGAATTTGATTTGACAACTTAGGGATCTCGACAGGCGAATATGTCTATAGAATTGTGCGTAGATTAACTGGGGCTACATCTGCTCAAAAATTGTTGAGGAACCACCAGTGGGTCGCCGGCAGCTGCATCTGGTGGCCACAGACCTTTGAACTCAGAATTTGATGATTTTTTATAGGGTGATGTGGAATTTCATGCTGAACATGGCGGTCAGGCACGTGGTCGGAGATGAGGTCAGGATTGGCCGGATTTTGAGTTTTTCCGACCTGCTGGGCATTCGCGTTTGGGGAGGTTTTGGGAGCATCCGAACTCTGATCCTGCTAATTTTTCTGTCGAAGCATCATTTCCTTATGGACAAGATGAATATATAGCACGTGTAATAAGGTGGGTCCCACAATGGGAAGAATCGAAAAATCAGTAGCGAATTGCACGAAATTCAAAGTTTTGATTTTGGCCAAATTGGTTGCCTCCGACACTACCCCAGGGGTTTTTGGGCCTTTTGAGATCAATGGCGATGGTCCCATCACCAAATTTGAGCTGAGGTGGGTGAAATGAGTGCATTAGGATGCGTGCCACTTATTTTTTGGTTCAAACTAGATCTGATTTCTTCAAATATTGTTGTTGATTGTTGAAAATTTGTATGGGAAGGTTTGGAGGTGTGTTTTCATCGGTAGTGGTGGTGTTTTCCGATGGTTTTTGTGGTGGATCAAGGGTGTTGATGGATTTGTCTTTGTCTCCCATTCTAGAGAGATATGGAGAACGTAAGTGATTGCAATGAAATAAGGGTTTTCTTGCAAGGAGTTTCTTAAGTAATTCTTTATAGATCTGCAGTTTGTTATTAAAGAGATAAGTGTTCTGAACTTTTCTCTTGTGTTGGAAGAACATTATGTAACTTGTTGCCATTTTGGGCTAAATAGTACATCCGAGTAGATATCCATTATTTGGATGCTCAACGGGGGATGTAGAGGTTAGATGTGATAGCCTAACCTCTGGGACTTAGGCCGAAATACTTCTTTGTGTTCAATCTTTAATTTTCTGCAAGTTTATTTTCTGATCGATTGATTTTTGGTGGAATCTTATTTTAATATCGTGTGTTGTAGGCCTTTTCAGTGGTATCAAAGCCTGAACAGAGAACAAGATACAGAATCTTTGCAGGAAGAGTTCAATCTATTGCATATCAAAAAAAATTGGAACTGCTGCTAAACAAGTCTTAAAGATATCGAGTTTTTATAAACTCGCTTGGTGAGATCTTTTATTTTTGTGAAGTTTTCTTTTCAAAACTTAGAGTTTCTCAATTTTTCCCTTGATCTACCATACACTAAAACCACATCTGGAGATTAATCTTTGTCTAAAGACTCATATGAGGTCTTGGGAATCTGAGATAAAACCAGTACGAGTGTGTATTTGGAGGATCTTGTAGGAGAAGTCTACGAAACATAGACTTTTGATCCCTGTTGTTGTGTTCTTTGTTTGTGTTTGCTCTGCATGTTCCTTGATTGTGATTGAAACATGAAAACCTTGTATTACTAAGTATACTACTGTGATTTAAAACTGCAGTGTTTGTGAGTCCTTGTCTATGCCTTGCTAATATCTTGAACTCTTATTTGTCTATCATTTTTTAATACGAATATGGCTTCTGCTAAGTTTGAAGTTCCTGATTTTAATATGTGGACTCAAAAAATGAAGGCAATTTTAATGCAAATGAGAGTTGTTAGGACTCTAGATGATATTTGGCATTTAGACTTGCTTCCTACTAAGAAAGCTAAATTTGAAGAAGTTGTCTGTAGTACTATTTTCTTGTCCTTGTCTGATAATGTTGTGAGGGCTATTGGTGAAATCAAAACTGCTTCTAAACTGTCGACTAAACTGCATGCTCAATATGTGACTAAGACTATTCCAAATAAATGATATTTGTTAAAACAATTCTTTTCTTTTAAAATGGACCCTTTTGTTGATTTGGATGAAAATTTAAATGGTTTATCAAGTTGACCTAAGACTTAACCAACTGTGATGAAAAACTTTCAAAAGACCAGTTGGTTGTAGTCCTGTTAAACTCCATTAATGACAAATATAGAGACAATAAGATTGCTCTAGAATATGGAAAAGCTCATATTACCACTGATGAAATCGTT